CTATGTCATCTTCCTGTGTTGGTTCAAGGTAATTTATAGCTAGATGGCTGTGAACACCAGGATACAGGGAATACTAGTTCTTGCATAGTGATGAAAGATTTCTACCCCCCTTCCTCACAATCCCTTTGAGATAGTGCAGTTTTTAAAATCAGACAGGATGCTAGAAATAAAGCAGTACTAGTTATGGAGATTCATCTGTGTACTAAACTGCCAGGTGAATTGGGAATGAGGCTGTCTACCAAAACCACTACCTTGAGGAACATTTTTCCCTCTGGCTGAAAAGCATTGCCAAAGAAGCAAAAAAGTAGAAAGGTTTTTGGAACCTTTGCAAGAGAAGAACAACTGTTTATGGTGTGTCAAGTCCGCCTGGCATGATTTGCCTGTCTGCAAATTCTTCTTGCTTTTACTTACATTTATGGTTTCTTTATCTTCTAAATATGAAACGAATCTCTGATGTCCTTCTTTTGTTGATTTGGTATGGTGGGAGAGAAGAGGAGGGGAAAGAATGGAAATTGTGTTGGAGTGAGGTAGGAAAACCAGCATTTGGGCAGCATCTATCCATTTACCGTAACTGATGGCAAGATCTCTTGAGCCTCTTGGAAAAGTAAGAAAGAGAATTAACTGTATACTATTCTTAATTCTGTACTGCTCATGTGCAGGCATCTTTGAGGACTATGCTTGCATGCTTCATTAAATAATTAGTAAATGGGGAATGGGAATTGTGTTTTGTATTTGGATAGAAGTTTTTCTTTACTCCCTTATAGGATTCAAAACCATGGCTGCTGTAATTACTTAGAAGGAGGTGTCCTCTTCATCCTTCTCCTTCCGCATAGCTTCCTTGTGATTTCTCGCTGCAGGTCAAGAAGTTCCCCCCTGCTCGTATTGGATGTGGTACATAGAGCTCTTTCAGAAGTCTGTATTGAAAGCAGCCATTTGTCAGTATTGCTTGCTACTTCCCAGAAACTGCTTTTCCTAATTTTCTTTTCACATATTATTGTGGAGCATGTTTGTGATCTTTGCAGAGGAAAAATACTATATGCAAGTAGATCAGGTGAGGAAAAAATTGATAGAGAAAACCAACTTCCTATAGATATGGGATTTAAATATGCAACAGTAATGCCATGTCCTTCCCCATCTCTGTTGCAAGAAACACAAAGTTGTTGGTATGTGAAGGATGGAGGTGCCCAACCCAGGTAGTTGAAGTTCTGAAGTCCCTTACACAGCTCACTTTTTTTTGTTTGTTTGTTTGTTTTTAAATGGCTGAACATTCCCATTAAAGCAGTGTTTTCACTCCATAACCTGATTTGAGCTCTGTACTTTGTTGGTCATAACAAAGGGAGGATGATCATGAATTGCCTTAAACCTGATGAGAATCCCAAGGCTAAGAACTCCTACATTAGACCTCCTATAAACAAAGTTGAAACCCCCATGATGCAGCTGTTGGCAAGCTTGCCATTTTTTTAAGCCATGTCTGTTTAACGGGTTTGTGTGTGTATGGGGGGACTTTAAAATCCTTTTTCCCAGAGAGAGGCCAAATGAGACCCAGAGGCAAATCCCTAGTTTTCTGAAATCCTTGGGAACTGGTTCCAGTGCAGTTGTTATAATTCAGCAATTAGCAAGCTAAACAGAAAGAACTTAAACCCTGGCTTGAATTTTGATGTGAGCCCCTCTGAAGCTCAGAATTAGGAGTAGGAAGCATGCACTCACTTGGAGTTTGAGCTCTGCTCTTCTCAAAACATGCCTCACCAATAAATCTAATTATTATTGCCTTGCAGTGAATCTCACAAATAATGCGCTTGGCTGCCTGGTCCACCCACGCTAAGTGAAACAATATGCATATTTTAATTATCAGATTATTTCAACGTTACACAAACACTGTTTCATATTAAATATTTTTACAAACCAATGACATCTGTATTCAATACTGAGTGGATGACATTTGTTCCCTGCCTATTAATGTCTGTAATTAGTATCTTTAAAACACCTTGATATTATATGTCACACCAGTCTCCCCTAAGTAAGGTCACTGTGGGAGTGGGATATTCTTTCTACTGTCATTCTGTGGCTAACATTTTCATCATCTATATATAATTTCTGCTCAGTAAAGTTTTCAAGGTGAAATTTTGTAGATCTCTTTAAAATGCAGCTGGAGAGAAAGGCTTCATGCCACCCTGTTTCTAAAACCACTTCTGCTCCATATGTTTAATTGTAAATTTTATAAACTTCTTTAAAGTGGCATAACTTTGTAAGTTTTAGAAGCAGTGTGGAAACTGCGTCTCTCACTCTGTAAATGAATGTTCAGAAGCTCCTGAGTGCATGTGATAAAGTGAATCCACACGTGCAATGTTTGGGTGTAGGCACAGGGTAGGATTTTCTGCTTTGCGGTATTCAGTAGTCACTGTTTTGCTGTTGCCTCCTAAACAGAATGAGGACAGACATGAGAAGCACTCTGCGTTTTGAGGCTGTTGGAGGCTGCAGGGTTGGCTTGTCCCGAGGACCAGCCTTTCTCAGTGGACAGGCTGCAGATGGGAGGCAGCGGAGTTCAAGAGGAACTGGCAAGGAGCCGGGTTGTATTGCTTCTTTTCTGGTGTAGACCCTGGAAGTTCCTACAGTTGTGGCCCAAGTTAGGACAGGCCTCTCGCTGCTCTGTTTTGTGCTAGTGCTGGCTGTGCTGGCCTGTTGGGGCGGCTGTCACCAAGTCCCAGGTGCCTCCTGCTTTCCCTATAGCCATGCTGCCAATGAGGAGCTGAGAAACCACCACCAGGTTTGGTTTGTATCTGTTTCTGAAAGCATTGGCACTGGACAGCGTATGGTCTTTTACATACCTGGTGTTTTCAGTTCACTTTTGCATGGTGAGATGACAAAGGTTGGGGGGGATTCAGCTGCAGATACACTGACAGGCAAGGTGCATGTCGTACTGCTCTACTCTTTGGGTTTCTCTTCTCTGGAAACAGCTGTGGTGCTGGAATATAGGCAGGAGGGCAGGAAGATGATGTGCCAGGCTAGGGCCCTTATAGGGTTTTGCTTGCATTTCCAACAGGTCAAGCAGTGCTATTGGGAATACCAGCTCCCTGTAGTGCAGGTAGTGTTCTGTGAGACAGAGGAATAAGATGCCATTAAGACCTGAGACACTACTTGTTCTGAACAAATAGGTGTCAGGGAGGTTCATTCTGAGGGATGCTAGTCACCTCGTGACAGCAGAGTGCAGCGGTGTATTTCCTCCTGTACCTCAGGGTTGAATTACCCAAGTCTTTGTTTCTGAGAGGGGTGAGGTAACAGTTGAAGCTCTAGGATGAAGTTTATTGATTCCCATCTTTGCTCTGAGACCAGCTTCCTTCTGGCTTTAGGCAAACTGTGCATTTGCAATTGCATAAAATAGCAAATATTTCTTCACTTTTATTGATGATACCTGATGCTGTAGGTAGGTGGGAACAGCCTGGAGAACGTAGGACATGCTGTTGCTCTTCTTCAGACCACGCAGCAGGTATCCAAGCTTTTCAAGCAGGAGGATTTGTTCTCTGCTGCTGCAGAGCTCACATCTTTGGCTACAAAACCAATCTTTGCCTTAGCATGGGCAGGGCTGCTGTACATCTGTTTTTCCCTCTTCCCAGGCTCCCTTCCAAGCAAAGTCCTGTCCAGGCTTTTGAATCCCCTAGCAAGAAGTGGACCTTCAGTTTTGTGGAGAAAGGAGGCGGCAGGCACAGCCGGCTTTGGTGTGGTGTGAGGGAGGGGAAGTGCTGATGGCTGGTGGGAGTGCAAAGCTGCAGTGCGGGGCTGCTGGCTGCGGGGAACTGGAGCAGGTGCCAGACCCAGGTGGGGAGAGCCCCTGGGGGTCGGCGTCAGGGTCAGGAGGAGATGGCCAGGGCCTGATAGGAATAGTGGTTAGTTTGACTCTGCGAGCTTCTCTCCTGCAACGTGGAAAGGCCATGACTACTTAATGTGCTTCTGAGAGGGAGCACTGAGTGAGAGAGGCCTGTGTGTGTGTCTTGAGACTGTGTGGAAGAGTTTGGGAGGAATGGGGCATGTAAGGAGAAATTCTGAGAGAAGAAAACTTCCCCTTGAGCTCAAGGATGAGAGAATTTTGGGGGGATCAGGGGTCAGTAGTGAGGAGGGTTGGAAACGTGAAAGAAACTGTGGTCCAGGTGGGGTGGACTAGGAGGCTGTGGCAGGGCAACTTCTGTCACTTCCTCATTGGCTGACCAGACCTTCTCACCAGCATCTTGGACCAGAGTTTTCCCCTTTAAGCCTTCTGAAATGTGGCAGCCATGAGTATGTGCTGTAAAAAGCAATGCTTGTAGAACACATTGGATCAAAAGGGCTCTGTAACTGCTAATCTTAATAAACATCATTCATTAATGGTATCCAAACACCAGAAAGACAGCAGGAGTTTTATGGGCTTTCTTTCTAACACATGCTACTCAGACTACTCGCTGAATAGTGTATTGCTCTGCAGTTGCCTGTTCTACCCCCTGCATGGTGGGATCCCAGTTGTATTCTTGCATGTTCTGGAACTGGAGAAGACAGAAAACAATCTACAGAGCAGATCACTTTAGCTGCCAAACCTGTCTCTGAGTAGAGTTGGCCTAAAATGTTAACGTACTGGAGGATAAGCTCTTCATGATCTTTTCTGGCTTACTGGAAGATGGTTGTGTGCAAGGAAAGCTATAGCAGAATTCTTGTGAATTGGGAGGGCAGAATTAAAATAACCAGTGCATTAACGGCTGAGGAAAACTGTTTCTCATAAAGTGCACAGCCAGGGCTGGGTCTTTGTCATGTTTCCTCTGAGCGTGGGAAGAGTGTGTGTTTGTGTGCGCATGTGCGTGCACATGTGTTCCTGCATGTGGAGGTGGGAATAAAGTTGCTAACTTGTCGCTGACATGTGATTCTTCATAGCACTTCTTTGTACATTTCACTGAAATATCTTGCTTGGACTCTGTAACTGCATTGTCTAATCAGCCTTTTTTATTTCCTCCTCCTCTCTCCCCCTCCTCCTCCTCCAGTCAGCATATGCTGTGTCAGTGCTCAAAGAGTGTGCTAAACTGCGACCTACAGATCCCACCGTTCCTCTTCTGGCTGCCAAGGTCTGCATTGGGTCGCTGCACTGGGTAAGCAAGCTGATGCAGTTCTTATTATGTAATGGATCAGGTGCTGCAGTGACAGTGCCACAGTGTTGTTGCAGTGGGGAGAAAGGGAATCCCTGTTAAAAATCATACACACATGCATGCTTTTTAAAAAAAAAAAAAAAAAGAAAATCCCAGCAAGAAATTTTGCGGTGAGTCACTGAAATGGTTTTGCCGGCATGTTAAACAAAGGAGGAGGGGGGAAAGCCATAACAGCCACTCTGGGGACTGGTTCTTCAACTGAATGTTGAGTTGAATTGGCCACTTTTGTAGCCCTTGGAAGACAAAAGTTAATAATTATAAGTGGACTGCTAGACAGTTCAGGTCTGCTGGACGACTCAGTCCTTTGTTCTGGGAGTTGCTGTGTCAGTGTTTTCTGTTCTGGATGTGTTAATGTATGCCCTAGAAGCAGAGAGTGGGAGTGGAAGTCTGTGCCTGTGAAATTCTGATTATCCCAAGGAGCAGAAACATCTGTCAGTCTTTTGTTGCTTGGTTTAATTAATTGAATAGCAGCCTGCTGTTTTCACCTGTCCTCACCACGAGGTGTCCCTGCAGTCAGTGAAGGATTAGAATTGCTAATATAAGTAAAACAAAGATGCAAGAAAGCATGAAAGAAAATACCAGAAGAATCTGCCTAGATTTTGGTGAAAAGTTGTAGGGGCTAGATTTGCTGCTGTTGTGTCCTCCTATCCCCTGCCTCCCCATCCTCTACATCCCTCTCCAGTGAAAGTTGGTATCCAGCTAAACTTAATTGAGTTATATCAGTTTACGCCGCTGTCAGCAAGGAGATCTGGTTATGTATGTTTTCGAATGAACTATACTGTTCAAACTATAATGGTTCAACTTGCATGTGAGTCAGCAAAAACTGGGAAATACCTTGTTCTAGGAAAAATCTTTCAGGACTGAGGGCCTTGAGGGAATCCTTGCTGAACTACCCAACCTACCTCTGCTCTCTCTATAGAGGAATTTAACTCTCGTGTACCCTTAGCTCAGTATCTAAATTTTGAGTGCTGAAAGTTATTCAGTGATCTAAAATAACATTCACAGTGAATGTTATTTTTTTAATAAAGCAAATAAGGTTGGGGTTTTCTTCTGATTCTTAGAGATGTTAAAACAATATGAAAGCCAGGTGTTAACAACTGTGTTGAACACTCTTATTATATCTCTGATGAAGTTTTCAAAGCAAGATCATCTTGTCATTAATCTAAAACATCAGCAGGTATATTGATAACTTTTACTCTGTAGGCTCTGAAGCTAGAGGAACTTCATGGCTAAATTCCTGCATTCACTTGGAGCCATAGTGGGGGACTGCAAGACCCTGACAGCTTCTCCTGGCAATTCGGCTTCCTCAGTGATTGCCAGGAGGCAAAAAAAATTAAAACCCAGCAGAACAGTTGTGTTAAATATGAGGAAAATCTTTCTCTGAGATCAGGCTAATTTTTGTCTAGGAGCCTGAATTTTAGTATAGGAGACAAACTTGGGATCTTCATATTGCAAATAAATCTCTTACTCTTTTGCGTTCCTGCTCTGTGAACATGAATCCAACAAGAGATTGGAGCCATGAAGGTAATGAGAGAAGACGCTCTCTTGGACCTAACACTTACAAACAAGGAAGAACTAGTTGGGAATGTGAAGTTTGGGGGCAGCCTTGACTGCAATGACTATGAGGTGGTGAAGCTGAGGATCCTGAGAGAAGGCAGCAAGGAAAATAGCAGAATGGTTCATTCAGATGTGCTTTGACTGACTTTGACCACTTCTGAACACAAATAGTGACTTCAAGAAGGCTGTGGTCTCTTGATACTTGCTAAACATGTGACCTCTGCTCTAACTAGCCTTTGGACAAAACTGAAATACAGTGAATGCATCTTGTGAGACTCCATGCTAAAATCAAGATCCCTGGGATGTTCTTATGTTTAACAGGAGCAGTGAAGTTTTAACGGAGGCACTCTACTAAACTGGGTCACTGGTGTGTGCTGAGGTGAAAGGACAAGATTTCTGTACTGTGAGAAAAGAAATGGCATAGAATCCCTTTTCATTCAAGTGCTACCCTGGTGTTTATGCAGCTCTCGCTATCGAGGACTAAATTTCAGATGGTGCCTGCTGACTGTGATGGATGAGGAATTTAATGTGAAATTATGAGCCCAAATTGAAGATGCTGCTATGCCAGGAAATGGGCAGTCAGGATTTGTCCTTCTCAGTGGTGCTTTCCCCAACATCTCTTTGGATCTGCTAGCACAGCTAGCATATAAAAAATACCTTGTTATAGAGACACTTAGAAAAGAGGGTGAGACTGTAATTCAGTCACAACTCTGTCCTCAGGCAATCCAGTATCTCCAGACTTCTCATACATGGCAGAGCTGATAAAGCAACAGTCTAACCCTAAAAAATAGGACAAAGAAGGGCAAAATGAGCTGGTTTTGATTACTGCAAAGAGGGTTTCTCCCTCTGTCTACTGCTTTTTCATTGTGTGAAACACTTTTCCGTGTTTTTTCTTTCAGACCCTGGCTCAGAACTGGGGTGCAGTATGAAATACAAACATAGTTTCACAAGAGGGTAATTTTACTGCAGTTATCAAGAGTGCAACCTTATGCACTAAAACCAAATTAAAAGTATTTCTCTCCCCTCTTCCTTTCAGTCACTGGCCTATGCTCTACCCTGATACCAGACTTCATGATGGCTTTAGAAGAGTTTTAATTAGGGGGAGTCAGAGGGAAATTAGAGCATCTTTTAAAAGAACTGAAATGATAGGTTCCCACATCTCATAGTCAAAGGGATGCTTCTGATATTACTGGCAAGCTCCTGTGCCTAATAAAGACCTTCCTGCTTAGCAGAGCTGTTTTTCTAAATGTCATCCTTACAGTAATTATTTGCATTTAAATTACGTGGCAATCAAATCAGAATTGAATCATTTAAACTGGAAGTGAACAAGATGATCAATGCCAGTATAAATAGAAAGGAGGATAGACATGGCATGGGAACAGTCAAATGGACAAATATTAACAGTTACAAATGCTCAAACATATCTTGCTCTTCAGAACATATAAAATATGATTAACTTCTCAATTAGGAGATATATCTATGTACTTAATTGCTGGCTAGGCAGGAAAAGGGTGAAATCAGATCACCATGTATTCAAATGAAACAGCTAATTTATATGTCCTGCATCTGTCTACTACGTGCTTTTGGTGCAGTATTGTATTCAGTTTGTTTATGGTCCATGTACAAGCAGTACTTTAGTCTTATTTCAGTTGCTAGCAATAAAAAAACCCCAGAAACATTTATGCAGCTGGATAATTACAGAATGTCATGAGGAGCACAGAACAGTTTCTTTCCTGATTAATCTAGTGGTCACTTAACTCGTTTTGCTGGCTTTGTACATGGTGTCTCAGCACACTTTAAGAACCAGGGAGAACAAAAAACTAATTGAAATGTACCATAGTGATTTACAACATTGAGGATGCTCAGATCACATCTATGAAATAATCTCTCAATGCAGAACAAATCAAAGTAAAAACATGCATACATTCATGCTGTGCCATGCAAATCAATATACAACAGAGCCTGATGTGGAAAAGAACTAAATGCCCCCAGCTTGTCTTGTGACGGTATGACCAGATTATTAGCTGATGTGAGTTGGCACTCCTTCACTGGCATATTACTGGCTCCATGCTGGCTTACATCAGCAGATGATCTGCCCCATCAACCACTAGCTTTCAGGATTGTGCCTGCAGTAAACAACTGAGTGATATAAGCAATGTTTTGGTTACCTTTTTCAGAACTACAGGTTTTCAAAAATTAAAAAAAAAAATGCAGAGTGAACAGTAAATCAATACCTAATTCTAAATTTAATTAATTTTAAAGCTTATGCCAGTTGTCTTAGAGGACCAGAAAAGCTCCAAAACTAGTGCACCTATATAGACCACACTTGTCTGGTCAGGATGCAGTTGGACCTGTGCTTAATGAAGCTCATGAGATACAAAAGTTTTCAGCAAAGTTGCAACTTTTATTCTGCATCTAGCCCATTACACAGGTGTTTTAAATGTGGTTGTAGTGTGTTCAGAATTACTTTTGGGGCATCATGGTGCTCAGCCTTCCAGTTTGTTGGGGTTTCAGCACAACAGTTTGCTGAACTTGCATGTGAATGATTCTAGCAAGTGAACACAGAGCACATTTGTGTTTAGCCAGGTGTCTTTTAGCTTTCCAGAATGCACTATAAAGTTTTTGACTACTGAAGTTCAGAGTACTGTTTTAAATTTTCGTAGGAAAGTGGATGTAGCTTACAGTGGAATATGTCTGTACTGAGGTTGTCCTGCCTTGGTCCACTACAAATTCACAGTTCCAATTACTAAAAGTCTTGCTGCAATTTTCTCTTTCACTCAGCCTTTCCTGGCACAGCCTCAGCTGAATGCTCACTTGCCTATTTTGGCAGTGACTTTGAGTTGCAGCATGAATTGCTGGTTTTAATATTTTAATAGTACATTACTGTTAATTTCACTACTAATCTAGGTTCTCCAGGACCCTGTTATGGCAGGTGGTGTGAAGATACTAAAACCAGAACTTCTGCCTACAGGCAAGTGTTAAATACTGAATTTCTCCATTTTAGGAGTCTTATTTAAAGGCATTTAGGGTTACAATGATGCTTTCTTGTGCCTTTTATTACATTGATTTCAGTGGAGGCACATTGAAGACTTTGTAAATACACATAGGGACTATAGTCCTAGGATAGGCTTGAATCTTCTAGGACTTTGGTTTGACAGAGTAGGAGGACATAAGGCATGTTCTGACTATTTTCATTGCCCCACAGCTGATACAACAGAAATAGTGCTGTTGTGCTAAACTTGTGTAGCACCAAATGATGCCAGTATTATCAGCTAGTACGAGCTTTTGGAGGGACTTAACCCCATGCCAAAAGCTGTAGAGCAAGATGGTGCTGTGCCTCTCAGACATTTTCCTCCTTTCTTTTAACTCACTAATCCTAGTGTGCA